ATCTAGTTCAGAGGTCTAGAATGGTGACTTAGTGATATTTTTAATAATATGAAACCTTCAGATGTATAAAGGGAGCAGTGATCAAAAGCAAAAATTGGCAAGTGTAAAATCAGTATATATTATTCTCTGTTCAAAGGATCAGAGACGATGGCTGGTATATTTTTATACTGGTTTCTTTTGTCACGTTTCTTCGATTCTGGTCACGCAAACAACTGAGGATAATCTTTCCTTTCTATTTTTGTCCGGGCCATTCCTTTGGTCAACCCTACCTCGTGAACTATTTTCGAAACCTCCCAAACCTACACCCGCTCCAACGTATCACAGAAATGGATGATTTTGCGAGGTTACTCTGAATGACGGCATCACCACCGGCTCAACCTACCAACCTATTACTGTACTTAAACGGTTGCTGCATCACTTACACGTCCCTACATGTCCTCATTCAGCTTCCAACCGATACCATTAACTTGCGAGAGAGTAAACTGAAAAAAGTGTTCATTTACCTGATTGTCATGGGTACAAACGTAGGAACGTCAATCAATCAAAATAAACAGATGATAATATTCCTCTATAATTTATAAACCACATAAAATTCCTGCATCTGTCAATTGCTGATCACAGAAATCAAGGTTAAATTTGATTCTCGAAATAGATTGTTAAAGTTATTTAGTCAGCTTGACTGTATATTCACTAAAGTAACGGAGGTGGCACGGATACACCGTCCCCGGCGTCCCCAGAGTCTTTTATCCCGTGCCAGCGACTGAAATAACCTCAGCCTTGAGTGGAGTCCTTCGAGCCATTTGCCCCTGTCGTTCTTAGCCTTTACAGGAGCCATCGGCAGATCGGTTGAGCAAATAGTAGTTGCTTCGCTTTCCAATCTGGAAGCATTTCAAGACGTATCCAAACCATTCATAACAGCCGTGATTTTTCAGCCTCGATAAGCAGGAGACTGTATACCAAGGCTTTCTCGAATGTCTTAATTCTGATCTCTGACAAGAAGCGTTGCCCCAGCAATCGTTTGGAAGATGATTATCTTCGCCAGAACCATCAACATCTGTCGATTCACTAGCTAAATGAACTCCTTTCCAAGACTTCACCGCCAACCTCTGTTTTCAGCCATTTTATCCATGTTGATACAGCGAACTTCTTCAGCTCATCCTGCCATCGATGTGGAGGTCTCTCTGAGGATCGCTTCCTCTCTCTTGGACTCAGGTCTAATAGGCTCTTTGATCCAACGACGGTCGGATCGCCTTGCAACGTTTCCTACCATTTGCCACGTTAACCACTTCACCTGGGTGAGACATCACCAACTCTTGTATGTGCTCCGACCCATTTATTACCATTTCTATCTGTTTTTGCCATTCTCAGTCTATGTCTTTCCATGCTGCGTTGCAAACTGTACAGTCTACAGCGTACTTTACGACCATCCTTCAGATTTAGGGTCCAGGTGTCACACCTATGAGTCAGCACTGGACGCACATACTAATCGATAACTTTCCATTTAGGCTCAGGTACAGTTTTTCGGCTAAAGAAACTTCCTCTCTTCCAAAAGCGCTCCATGGCATTTAGTCTTCTCTCGATTGCGCATGGTCGCTTCCCATCTGATAGATAGTTATGTCTTCAAGTATATCTTGGATTTGATGTTTGCTTCTGAGGATGGTACAAACAGATGCATATCTCTACACTTTCTTAACAGTAAATTGGAATTTAACCATCCCATGCCAAATACAACACAAAAGTGATTTATTTGTGCACTAACGATTAATGTATGTGGAACGCAACGCCTATGGTCCATCCGTCTTTCTTCTCTTTGGTCCTACGGAGTTTTCCTCAAGTAAAAATGGCAGTAGTTCTCTGTTGCAGTTGAGGACTTCCACAGCAGCCGATCAGTTTCGAGCTGTGAATGAGTGCATCATTCATGATCATTTATCCTGAGTGGGTCACGAAACCTCTTTGTGACACAGAGGCTCACTGCTGGTCTTTTTTGTAACATAAAAGTACTTTGAAATGCTCAGGTTCGACGTATGTTCAGAAAAGTGGTCTGTCTCATATGACATTTTCAGACCTTACCAAACACACACAGCGGAGTACCTACGATAGTATCAGCAATGTGGGGAAGTGCAATCATGCAATGAAAAATTGAATTTGATTCAGACTCATCTTTCGACTACTTCAATGGTTTCTCTTGTCGGTGTTTTCAACATATTAAGCTTTACAGTATGGATATTCGATTTATAATAAAGTAATCAAGCTACAGAGCTTTTGATAAATGGCTAACGGAAAAAACGAATGCATGCCGGGATGGTTTATCATTTAATTGTAATCATCAATATTGTCCAGTTCCAGGCGAGGTAACTATGGTAATTTTCTGTTGCCATCGGAGATAATTTCATTTTCGTAAGGCACAGCAGTTGTGACAAATAGCGGTTCTCTTTGTTGCAGTGGTGAGTCATACTCACTGTCGTTGCTGATGGTTGTTTTTCATAAATTTATTCTCGTCCATTTCTGATTTTGCTGCAGGACCAGTCGATGATTTCCAAACGATCAGCGAACGATGTAGAGAAACCAAGAATTTGAAACCGGCATCACGAATGTAAACCAAATCTGCTCCCTCCCGGTTGCGTGCGATGGTGTGGTGACTGTAGAATGTAGTCACAAACACAGTAGGCCACTGCACCTACTGACGTATTTTACAGTATCATCTTATACAGGAGAACAGGATTTCCACTATGGTTGCCTGTAGCTACGGCAAGGAATGCGCTGGTGATCTCGAAGAACATTTTGCAAAACTAAATTGTGATTTTGACCACTCCAGCCTTGTCAGAAAGTTCCTGAATGAGTTACAAGGAATGACTAAATCTTAACGATAAAAAATGTCTAGAAGTAAAAACCATATACCAGTAGACCTTTCGCTAGAGCCAATCACACCAGATCACGTTTTGGTCAAGAACTCGCCAGAAGACGTTCTTGCGGGGTGGAGCCAGAACATGCAGAAAATGCGCTGACATTCTTGAAGACGGAAAAGGAGCAATGTGCGGTTACAACTACGACTTATGAAAGCAGGGTGTTGCCAACTGCTGTCCGTGTTTGCGAGACATGAACATTAATGAAGGCGTACGAAGAACTGTTAGGAACGCAGCAGCCGAGTATAGGAAGAAGAATGCTGTGGTGAATCATTGGGGGTAAGTTCGGGAAGAAGAAATAGGAATACGCATGCGAGTGAAGGACCCTGAGTCAGGCGATGATTCGCAGGTCACATCGCAGAACTGACGGATGACCTATGAATTTCAACACATATTTTCAGAGACTGCAAATGCCCATTTGGAAGACTCGATCAGCTAAAAGAGGGACACGAAAGCTTGCAACAAATCACACCATTGAGACTAGGCAGTAGTGATCTTCGTTAATTGTAAAGAAGGATCAGTCGCGGGAAACCTTTCACTCGCAGAGCCCTTATCCGCAGGGCTAATGCCAATTTAAAGATGGATTGGGCATAGCTTGAAACACCGGATGTATGAATGAAACGTCCATGCGTCGCTTACACGTTTATGACACAAAACTGTATCATTATTCACCGTGCGATTAGATACTGTAAAATTTCCAGATGGCATCTAATGACACAGAATATCCGTGAGCTGATGTAAAACCAGGAATAAACCGAAGTACGGAAGCGCTGTTGACGTTGCTGCGTGATGATCAGCATAAAGCAAGCAATTCTTCAACGGAGCAGTGGTTAAGGCTGATGTCCAGCTGAACGAAAGGCACCGCCGTTGATTTTTTCAATCGCTGCTTACCCCTGAAGAGTCTTTTCCGCTGATATCTTAAACTGGTACTGCCTTGGTCTCATCTGCGGGTAGAAGAGACATTTCAAACGAGTGTATTTCCCCTTTCCGTCCACAAGAGGCTGGAAACTCTGTCCACTGTCCCCTATTCACTTTCCTAAGATAACAGGCTTCAGAAAATAATCATCTGTTATCCGGTAGCAGGACCGTTTTTTTAATGCTTGCATCGTTACCTCCATGGTGATGCTCGACTACAGCATGCATTCAATGTGCCCATTCGCGGACTTCTGCTTCGGTTAGTCAACCAATTTACATTGAGTAGGCCTGCTGAGTTTATTGAAGTAAATCTAATGAATTGTCTTATATTTGGACAATCAGTTTTAGTCAGAATCCTTTCCATGTATTCAGGAAACAGTGAAAAATCGATTTCTTCTGTTGTCTACCGTACCATAGAAATCGTTTCCATTCATTGCACGGTGGTTTTACGATTACATTTTCATACGGTAAAATTTATCTACCTGCCCCTCATGGAATTGAGACCTTCGAACGTTATGCCGGCTCGATCGTCGCCCAGGTTGCCAAGAATCGCGCAGCCTGTTGAGAAACCGAAACAAACTGTGAAAAGTAAACGATCAGATCTGCCCGCTTCATGCCTTTTGAGAGCTGAAGGCGTAGTAGCAAAAATACCAGTCAGCAGTGCCAATCAACAGCAAATTCTCTACCCGTTCTGAGAGGATGACATCAACGGGTTTCCGCCTTTGTGGCATGTCAGCCAAGGTTCTCCGAGAACGGCACCCCGACAACCAGAGGTCACAATCAGAAATTGGAACATCTCCTTACTCAGCGGAATAGCTAACTGATTCGGCAGCGAGGCACTAGTGGATGCAGT